TTGTTTTAGGAACTGGGTTTTTTTGGATCTTGTGGAATTTTTCTGGGTATATTGAATTTCCCATTTCTAGGTTGGTTTTTATCCCCAAAATGCATTGAATTTCTTGATTGAAAAACCCATAATTTGGAATTTGTACAAACGATTGGCAATATGCTAGTTTAGGAGTTTTAATTTTGTGATTCCTTCCCACCATTTTTGGAATTTTAATGTCTGATAATTTGTTCTTTGAAATTCTTAATTTAGTCATGTATTTGTAATTTTATACCATTTGTGTTGTTTTACTAGAATTCTACTTGAATTTTGCTAGGATAGCTCTTTTCCTTGAATTGCTGACTTTTCTTGTTTTATGTTATGTTGGGAAATTCAACGAGGTTGGTAATTATTGAAATTTATTAGTTTTGTTGCTGTAATTGTCACTCTAATTACATTTGGAAATATCATTTTCGGGTTTCGATTTTTGGGTTTTGATTACCTTTTGTCATATGTAATATGCACGCTTAAGCCTAACAGGACGATTAATTGAGGACGAGGGAGTAATTGTATTGCTTGATGATACTCTGACTACATAAGACAATAAACAGCTAATGCTCTTGAATTTACATTATTCTATAATCTATGCCATATGCTTTTGACTTTATAAACAATTATTCATATCAGTAAATGTTTTTTCCCTTAAAATATAACGTCAGCTTTTTATAGAATCTGTCATCATCACTTTTATTCTCTTCTTTTACTTTTAATTTCCCCAGCAAAGTAGCAACTTTATAATAAATAGTTTGGTTAAAATTTGAAGTAAAGCATAATGTTTCTGAGTTTGATTCTTAGCCTCTTATAGAAGTGATTGAAAGAGTAGGGTGACATTATTCTGTAGTATAAGACTGAAGTTGTATGTATAGATCTAGTTTTGTTTCTGGAAGTAGTCAGAGAATTAGTTGCATTGTTGCACATGGTAAGCCACTTTTGAGTGAAATTCTATCTGTTATTCCTGCTTTTGTTTTCTATCACATAACAAGAAGTTATGGATATTGCTATAATTTTATTTTTTTTAATCAAAGTAATATCATGACAAATTATTTCTTTTGACTTTATCTAAGTGTCCATTCTTTTCCTTTAATTTAGGTTGTGCATTATCTTATAATGATTTTCTGGCAATTAGCACTAATTTTCAAACTGAGATACCCATTTCTCATAGTTCATCCCTGTTTTGTGAGTCCTCTGTTGCTTTTAATGATGCAGTATGGTAAATTTCGATTGCAGGAATACCACGTACAAACAGGATGCGGCCCTGTGTCTGTCATTGTGTATGGAGACAGAGATAAGCCAGCGTTGGTTACATATCCTGATTTGGCTTTGAATCGTAAGTATTGTAATGTGTTGTTTATTTCTTACTTGCAAATCTTTGTAATGGAAGGATCATTGTCATGACGTGATTTGCGATCCCTTTCTTCATCTCCTCCTCATCTTAATTTTTTAATATTGGTCTGTAACCTTACTGCCTTTGTTCTTATATGTGTAATGTCTTGTGACTATTGAACAGACATGTCTTGTTTCCAAGGATTATTCTTTTTTCCTGAGGTCGCTTCTTTGCTGCTCCACAACTTTTGCATTTACCATATCAGCCCTCCTGGACACGAGGTCTGTAAATCTTCATATATACTGTCTTCTGCTTTTATCCGTCTTTTTTCTTCCTTTAATCGTGAGACGTTCTTCTTTAGATGACTTTGGTTATTCTATTATTCACATTTACCTTATGAAACTCTTGTCAAGAGTTCTTGCAGTTGGGAGCTGCTGCTTTATGTCCAGATAAACCTGTGCCATCAGCTGAAGATTTAGCTGATCAAATTCTTGAGGTTCTCAACTTTTTTGGGTAAGCTAGGACTATGTGTGTGTCAGCTGATTTTTGTTCTCTGGTGCTGTTGCTTGTAGTTGTTTTCTTTGCTCCAATTAAGTTAATTCTGACAACAGTTGTTCTTGTCTAGGCTTGGTGCAGTGATGTGTATGGGCGTGACAGCAGGAGCTTACATACTTACCCTATTTGCTGTATGTTGTTTGCATATACTTTTAAGGTTTTTGAATAATTTCTTAAGCTAATCTGTCTGGTTAACAAGGGTTATTGGTGTTGCAGCTGAAGTACAAAGATCGTGTTCTTGGTTTGATACTTGTTTCACCTTTGTGCAAAGGACCTTCATGGACTGAATGGTTGTATAATAAGGTTATTTTCCTCCTCTTGTCATAAGTTATATCTTTCACAATATAATTCATGTTCTATACTGTATTAATCTGATTCAATCTAATAATTTACAGGTTTTGTCAAACTTGCTTTACTTCTATGGGATATGTGGCTTGGTGAAGGAATGTCTGCTGAAGCGCTACTTCAGTAAGGTAGTAATTAATTGTTTCTAGTCCACACTATTATTTACCTTGCAGTAGCTAATTTTATACTTTTCCATATGCAGGAAGTTCGTGGAAATGCAGAACTCCCGGAATCAGACATAGTTCAAGCATGCCGAAGGGTTAGTATTCTCTCTGGTGCTTTTTTTCTTTTTCCTTTCAACTTTGTATTTTCTTAGACCATGACATGTTTACTGGCTCCTTGTCTTTTCAGTTGCTAGATGAGAGGCAGAGCATTAATGTTTTACGTTTTCTTGAAACAATGAATGGGTAAGTTCTATAGCAAACGTTGCTTGTCAAGCTTCCACCATATTATGAATTACTCTCAACATTTCTAATCCTTTGTTTTTCCGTTTTTGTTTAAATAAGCAGGAGACCTGACATCAGCGAAGGATTGAAAAAACTAAAATGTCGGACACTGATTTTTGTTGGGGATGAATCATCTTTTCACGCGGAGGCTCTTCACATGATTTCAAAACTAGACAAAAGATGCAGTGCATTGGTTGAGGTATGTACATGGAATCTAGCTCACTTGAAACTCATCTGTCTTGTGGTTAACTGAGGTCGAGAAATTTTTTTCCAAGATTATCTCATTTTGGTAGATTGCATAGAGAACGTCCAACTTTCAATTTAGAAACCAGTTAAGCCAAGTTAGTCTGACATTTGGGACAATAGATTTTATGAACCTATAAATTTCAAGTTCACTAGGGCCAAGGGGGGAGAGGGTGCAAGACATGCAGCTTTAGGAATCTAAGTTGGGTGTATGGTGATACACTGAAATTTGTGTCGCTTTTAGAGGGACATAGGTGCTTTTTGATCAAGAACTTACGTAAAGAGATGACTTTTTTGACCATCTTATCATGTGAACAAATCATATAGGAATTATTTTATCCTGTTAATAAAATGAAGTACACAATGGTAGAGTTGCTTACACAGGGTTGATCTTTGTAGGTACAAGCTTGTGGATCAATGGTAACAGAGGAGCAGCCTCATGCAATGCTGATACCATTGGAGTACTTCCTCATGGGATACGGATTCTACCGGCCATCTCAGCTAAGTGGAAGCCCGAGAAGTCCTCTCAGCCCATCATGCATCTCTCCAGAGTTGCTTTCTCCAGAAAGCATGGGATTGAAGCTGAAACCAATAAAGACTCGCATTTCTTTGCAGTCATAGCAATGGGTGATATTCAGGGTGTATGTCCCTGCATTTCCCACTCTTTCTGTTGTAATTTTTTCATTATATTTTGGATCACGAATGAGGGTCGTAGTTGGAAGATTGTAGATATGTAGGATTGTTTTTGATAGAAAGGAACATATATATATATATATATATATATATATAGGGAGGGATTATTCATTCATTTGTAGTCATTCATAAACGAACGGACAATGGTTATTTGCTTGTAAATCTATAGAACTCCATTTATGATGGCGAGAAATTAATAATGAAAGAGCATATTTATGAGTTTTTACAGGCTCTGGTGGGAGTGTCAGTACTTTCTTCATTCACAAAATACTTGTATTTCTTTCCAACACATTCAAATCCATCACTTTGAGTCTTCAATCAAACAAATTACTTCATATATCAAATCAAAGAAGCTCCTTTAATTTCTTTCAATTTTAATCTGCATAAATAGTTTGCTACTTTTGGGTTCACATAAAAAAACACAGGAAGAATTCCTCGAGCGGAGTATTGCATAAATCATGGAGTAATTTGCTTAACAAAATCAGCACAGTAGAAAGTTGCTCGGCCAATCACCTTTAGGATAAGTTTTCAACTTACCTCTTATGTTCAATCAAACGATAACAAGCAGATAATTCCGCGAACAAAATCCTTAAGCTTATCTGGAGATAAAGTATAATGAAAGTAAAACTAAGGTATGCATGAATATTTTGGGCAACAGTTCACATGGAAGGCAATAAGCAGTGTATATGTGCGGTGTCATTGTTGTCTGTTTTTGGGAAAGCCGTGATTGGTGCTTAAGCAACATTTCTTTTGTGGCCGAATTATATTTGGTGGGCACCAATCATTGTTGTCTTTTGGTGGGTCCATTTTTTGGCTGAGCTGGCATCATGTTTGTATTTGCTGTTCTTTTCTTCCTTATCTTTAACTTCATTCCCCTACATTTTTTTTTATCTAAGAATTTGAAAAAAAAAAAAATTATAATAATGTCCAAATAAATTGTTAGGCTGTTTGAATTGAGTAGGATATACTTTGCAACTCTGTCAAAGTTTATTCTACGTTTATCCTAGCATGAATTTATGAGTTGTTACCAAATGTGTATATATATTAGTATAAGTGGTTACAACTTCTCTCCCGATTTCAGGATATTATGGGATCGATTCTCACCCCGCCCTTGTGGCTCTCTAAACACCCAAAAAAATAAATATTTATATTTTCCTAGCATTATTATAGATTAGAATAGTTTGATGTACTTCAATTTCTACTTGATATATTTACATAATCATTTGGATTATAAAGAGGAAAAGGACTGGAGTGTGACCCTTGAATACTCAAAGCTGGCGGGAGTTCGGTGCCTATTATGTAATTATGCATGATTACATGAGTTTAATTATTTAACTATTATACCTTTTCTAAGCTAGGTTTTTGATGTTATTTGTAAGTTCAGTATTCATCGAGAAATACATTATCCATCAAATGAGCCCCTATAACATTTGATTCTGGCTTATACCAAATGGATTCAAGTTGAGGAGGAGTGATATCACTACTTCACCACCTCAATCTCGAGATATAAGTTTTGATAAGTAAGCATACAAATTTAGAGTCTACAATTGAAATCTATTGCTATAATCTTAAAGTTGACATACATGCAAATGAAAATATCCTTTATGGGAATAATAAGATGTATAACAAGTGTTTTTCTTTCCAGTTTCTATGTGATGCAAAGTTTATCAGTTCAATGATGATTCAGCAAATACTTGACATTTGATGATTTACATAAAAAATGCTTGTCAAAAATCCAAGGAGGGTCATAGACTATGACATAATTCAATGGTTGCTGCAGGTTTACTCTGGACCTTGCTCGTTAAATCGAACTCAGTAGAAGCGCATAAGGAAGGGTTTCCACCAACTGTACTTATAAGATGGATTAAGGTAGATTCAAGCTCTTCTCCATTGCTCCAGTCATTGACACTGGCCTTGACGAGGGAAGGGTCGCTGTTGATACGCTTCCACAAAGGAAAATTCTTCCGCGGCATGACATGATCATTTCCTCTGAGTTTCAAACTTGGGCAGTAATCACCTCCACCATCACCAATATAGATGGTAGTACTTTTCCCATTTTCTTCAGCAGAAGTTTGTATACGCTCAAGAATCAGTCCCTGTTAGAAGTTGCAAAAATTGATTACATGAGTAAGCATATATGGTGGCCGAGAATTAACAGTAAGTTTAATTTTTTTAAGGGAATTCCAATTAAACTCGCCATTGATAAAACAACAGATATGCTTTAATCTCCTCAAATAGGTCATCATCAGCTATTGCAGGTCTAAAGAAGCTACCAGATATCAAAAATCTGTCTTCACTTATACCAATGAAATACAATGTTTGCAAGCACCAATAGCATACATGTATTTGAGATCTCTATTTAATATAAACTCTTGGGATTTCTATACGGTAACTGCAAGTTGGATATTAATCTATTGCAGATCTAAAGACAATCATATAAAGCATTTTCCTACAAATCAAAACATGCTTTAATGTTTTTAGTAGGCTGCTTAGTAGTGATAAAGATTGATAGCCTTGGACAACGAGAATTTGGAAGATCACCCCAATAATATAGCTGAAATTTGGCTCTTGTGATGAATAAGATACTAGTTTGGCTAAAATCAGAAAATCCGGAATGCTCCAGACTCCAGTTAACGTAGGAAGATTGGAAAGGAATAGACCACCTGGGAAAAATTACAGGAGATATTACTACTCTCTGGCAGCAGTGGATCCTATATGTTAATAAAAGGAGCCCTTAATACTTAATCTTAGATGGTGAGGTCCATAGAATAGACAAACGGTATTTATATTCCTAACCTCAAGATTTAGAAGATATTTGAACTGAAAATTTATACAGTAAGTTAAAGCTGAAGGATGCCTTACAATAACTTCAGGAAGAAAACTTGATGTTGCTCAACAGTGTTGAAGGAAGAAAATTAAGGTTGATTGTTTTGGGAGAGGGATTAAAGAAAGGGAAAGGGTATGCAAACCCCTATTTCCTAATTTTTTTTGGTTTCCCTAATTAGAGACATCATGTTCAATGCTCCTTCAATGTTTAGTCAAAACTCGTTTGGACAATGATTTTTCACTTGGATAAAAAGCCAGCATTTTCGCTAAAAATGAAAAGATGCTCTTATATTTTGTAAATTTTTCCTACTAGTTACCTTTCTATCCCTACTTTTAAAAAGATAATAAAATATTTCAATGTCTTTAAAGGTCATTTTGTACAGTCAACAACCAATCAATCGATTGTACCAAACATAGTTAGAAACAACCAATAACAACACTTAGTCATACTAGCTAAGTGAAATAACAGTGGATTATTAAATAAGGCCAATATGTTATGCATTGGAGGCTAAACATGAAAAAAAAAGGGGGGGGGGGGGACACTTAGTCATACTAGCTAAGTAAATAACAGTGGATTATTAAATAAGGCCAATATGTTATGCATTGGAGGCTAAACATGAAAAAAAAAAAAAAAAAAGGGTGTGTGTGTGTTTGTGTGTTGAAATTAATTATTCGAGTTTTGGCAAGCATTTGTTTATGGACCCATGAGGCCATGATGGCGTAAATTTGATGTCTTATCTTTAAAGTTTAATGAGAGTAGTAGTTCTTTGGCATTGAAATCCTCAACATTCCTATTATCTTACTTAAACTACAACCATCATAGGATGAAGGGCTTGAAGCATCATGCCTTTTTAGGGTGTTTTTGTTTTCTTCTAGAGTAACTACTTTAGCATGTTTACAACTCTGGAGCTGAAGCTATGATAATTGGCAAAACTTCACTTGGTTATAGCTAATTTGGAAACAAAGGTACTATTATGTCCATAGCCGAAACCTCAATGTGACAAAATCCCAGAATCCTTTGGAGGCTGACAAAAACATCCTTTTAAAGGAGGAACAAGAAAAAACACTCTCCTCCATCCTACCACAAACTAACTGCTATGTGGTGCTTCTAGTGACTCCTTTACAAGCACCTCTAAACAGGGATGGAGGGGCTAGCAAGGGCCATTTTGTAGTGAGTAATTTCAGATCCTGTTAGATAGTATATGCTCACCACAAATTCAAATAGAAGCTTTCATTCACCTCCCTTTTTTTGTTTTCTTTCATTCTTTCTTCTTTTCAATTTTCTTTTCCTTTTATTACTTCTTACCCACATAAAAGGTTCATCCAGAATTTCATATTATATTTTTGTAAGCAATACATCGTGACTTGCCATTCCCAAATCATCACACTCAAAACCTTATTCTACCTCTTCCTTGCTCTTCCATTCTGCACCATTATTCTGATTAGTCACTTCTCATAGCATCATCACACTCTAGCTCTTACCCCTTCCTTTTCCCATATCACAATTTTTTCACCAAAGCTTATAAACAGAAGCATATCTAACTCTTTCTACAGATTCAGAAATCTTTCTTATGGTTACATGGGCATATGGCTTAACTCATTCTTATGAAACCTCTCATATAAATACTTCTCACCATCATCACACTCCTTCCATTCTTCTGCTCTTGTCACCCTCTCTGATAAGTGGGTTTTAAACCTGCTTAAGGTATTGAATTGAGCATAGCTTAGTTTTTATTTTTTACCCTCTTTCTACTTATTGTTGGTAAAACTCAATTTTGTCAAAATTTTTGTAAAGCTGAGAACTTTCCCTTGTTTTGGTGACAGTTTGGTTTCTCTTGCGTATGCAAATTCCATACGAAGCGTTGGAGATTGAAAATGAAGATACTGAATCATTCAAGGTAAATAATTGAAGATTTAGAGTTCAATATGATGGTTTGTCATTTGAACAAATAATCCAAAATCATATCTTTATCAAACCTTTTAGGTTGAAAGTAATGGGCTAATGGCATTGATTAGTGATGGGACAATACTATCGGAGTAGAGACGGTATCTGTTGGTTTGGCATTTCAATAGTATCATGAAGCACAAACTACAACTTGAGAAATATAAAACCAATCAAGAGCAAAGAGACACAACCAAACTTTAAGCATAATTATACCCTCTTCATATCTAAAATATTGGAAGTGGAATTCGTAAGTCCAGTAACTACTCAATTGTCTACCAATGTTCCTAGTACAGTAACACAGTGAAACATAAGTATTAAGTTACTCTCTCCATCCCTATATTAGATTCCTATTTCTAACATTTAATCCTCACATAACAGAGAGAAGTAGGAATCTAATTAAGGGACGGTGGAAGTATCAAACAGTGGAGCATTGTTAAAATGTTCGGAAATAGGAAACATATTTGTTTTGCAATAAAAATTCAATAATTTCCCTTAGCAACTACATTCAGTTTGTGGGGAAAAAAATAGTCCAGAACATCCAATGATGATTAAAACCATATGCTTTGTAATGTGATCATACTCATATTTAACATTCCTACAAAATCTACAATCTATCAACTAAAGTCACATAAGCAATACATACCTTGCACATGTGGGGAGGGCAAAGATTACATCCATGAGGAAGCAACTTGGAATCATGATACGGCATAATCCGAAACCTCCCTTCATCATCAACAAACGTTGGATTCGTTGTTACTTCTTTGAAGAACTCTAACAAGTGATATTGTTCCAATATCGTCTTGATATAAAATTGATTCGCATCACTTACAATCCACAATTCACACCTAAAGCCACAAATATTACAACCATAAGCTTCACATAATACTTTAATAATTCAATAATTGTTGGTCAAATTCAAAAAACTGAAAACCCCAATTACAGGGAAAACCCTGTTTTATTTATATGAGCATAATTGATAATTCTACCCCATAGAATGAGCAGATTTAATTGCTGATATTATCTTCGGATGTAATGGCATTTGCTTTAAACAATCTCCAATATCTTCAATTGTTTTCCCTTGAATATGAAGCTCCTCCATCATCCTATTCTGTATAAATTTCGATGCTACAAACCTTAATCAATTGTAAACTAATGAAATCATGTTTCTCCAATGTAAGGAAATCACATATATTCTAATTGTTTTTTTTTATAAAATTAGATAAGCCGCAAAGGGTCAATGATGTAGACGGGATTTGATCATAAATCGATCGAGACAATATCAATATACAATCGATGGTACCTATATATGATATGAATTTATATGAATGAAGAGAAGAAATTGTGAAAAGGGGACTGACCATGAGAGAGTTCCATGGCAAAGTGGAATAGAGCTGATTGAATAGAGGAGTGACACCCATGTTGGTAATCACCCAACGATCGCTATCTTCATCGATTATTGTTCGATCGAAGTCGAAAATCACCACTATTTTTGACATTTTTGTAGTGAGATTAGATGAATCGCCGATGATTGGAATTGAACTTCTGACAGGATGTTTGTCTGCTTGGTGGGTGCAGTTTGAATCCGATGATGTGTTTTTATTACTTTATGTTTTTTTTATTATTGCAGTTTGCATTGCATGTAATTTAGGAAATTTCACAAATATTGCATCATTTTCTTTTAATGAAAAAAATTATTTGGGATCACACTACAAATACCCATCATACCCTTGTTTTTTCACACATACTCCCTTAGTTCCAAAATGTTTTTTACGTTTTCATTTAGAGTTTTCTTTTTTATTCTGTACATTTAGTATCTTTCCTATTTTGGTCATAAATTTTGGACAAAATTACCCTTATTTTACAATTTTTATACTCAAAAGTCCTTGTCTTTCCATGTGCTAATGTACTTTTTGTACAATTTTTATACTCCCTCCGTCCCTAAATTACATTCCTCCTTTCTATTTTGGGTATTCCAAAATTACATTCCACCTTTTTATTTTTAGTAAGTTTTTTTTCTAAATATCCCAAACACACTCTCTTTTTCAATTGTACTTTTAATGTATAACTAATGTATTTACATTCCACTATTAATGTTTGGTTGGCTAATGTTTTCAGAATCCTTGTGCCAAATTACAATGAATATGATTGGTTAAAAATTTTCAATTAGGAGCATGTGATTGATCCCTTTTTTTTTTTGCAAAGCATTGATGACATGTCATGAGTAATCACTAATCTATCTTTGTTTTACTCAAAACCATTATTTAATGTTTTGTACTTCCCATTGCATTATCTAATTATTGTTATTTGTCTTATTCTTTCCTCCTTAATTCCCGTGTAAATTTCCAAAGAGGAATGTAATTTAAGGACGGAGGGAGTAGTTTTTCAACACTTATTAGCTATTACTTTCTCTCTCCTCTCTCCTCTAATTTCTTCACCCGACATGCTCAACATTGTATTTTTCAATAATATTGTACTTTCAATTATTGAAATATTCCAACATACCTAACTTTACCCAATTTCTTAATAACCGCGCATAATTCCAAACGTAAAAAAACATTAGAGAACGGAGGGAGTACTTTTTAATTTATCAATATGTCACATGGACAATTTTGTATTTTTAACTTTCTCTGTTACTTTTTTCCACTACAATAAAAGGGAGGAAGTATATCCTCAGGTTCAGGTGATGGTAGATTTTTAAATTTTGAATGAATTCAGCAATGACGATAAGTTCAGAGTCAATACAAACAATGAAAATCAATTACATCGATATTTCACCATTGCCGATAATCAACACTAATCTTGAGGTTGACAGTACTTACCCTCCAATCGTTGAAGCTTTTAGCCGGAAAATTCTCGAAGCTGATTGTGTTCTCTTCGCTTCTCCTTGTATGCTTTCTTTTCTCTTTTTCAATTTTCTTGATTCTTGCAATTTTACCATTTGTTTCATTTGTGTCATATCAGTAATTGGTACTTGATTTATCTGTTTATTTGTTTGAAGAATTCTTTGGTTATTTATGGGTTATTGATTAAGGAATTATGAGTTAATTATGCTGAAATTTTGTTAATGGCATTTAGCAGATTTGAATTTAATTTGAGTATGGAAGCCATTGATTAACGCTTACCCAACATAAATTATTTGCTTAGGAATTATTTTGTGGGTATTACATTTTTTTTTTTTTTTTTTTTTTTTGTATTTCTCAGTGTTGGTTTCTAGCTATGCTTAGGAATTATTTTTATTTCAAGTATAGTTGTTCTAATTGCATGCTATTATAATAATTTTTAAAACATATACATGTTTAATTTTTCGAGGCTTATATATGAGGAAATTTTGTTAGATAACACCTTTTAAGTGTGATTTGTTGTGAGAAAACACCTTTTATATATATATATATATATATATATATATATATATATATATATATATATATATATATATTTGTGAAAACACACCTAATACCAGAAATTATTTGTAAAATAACACCTAAGGATGGTTTCAGGCCTGTTGACTTGGTTTCATGGCGTTGACCACCATGTGTCCACGTGCGCCGATTTACCCCCTTCCCTTCTAATTTTTTTACCATTTCTTTCCCTCCAACTCTATTTTCTCTCTCCACTCAATTTCTTTCTCTCTCCTCTCAATTACTTCGCTCTGTGTTGCTGCTCACATCACCATTAAAAGCTTCTAGAAGTTGCTCGGCCATGGCAGTGACAAACTGAATGCTTCAATTCGTGGTTTAAATTTGGCCAAGGAATTGGGTAAGTGTAAAAAATTCTCTCTCCTCTCATTTGTTACTCAATTTTTGTTTGATTACTTGCCTAAATTTCTCTGTCCTTCCTTTTCTTTGTGTCTGCCATGGGTAAGAAAGGGAAGCCTCGACATTACTGCTACCTCCAGCATCCCCAAATAAAAACCCTAATTCCAATTTTAAACCCTAACTCATGATAATTCGCAAAATCAACAAAATTAATGGAATACGTTTTTAATTAATGCTACTTACCTGCCTCGTAATTATGCCAATTGAGTATATTTGCAGAAATTGGAGCTCAAATTTGGAGTTCACCTTCTTCAAAGGGGAGCAATGGAGTTTGGGTGGTGGAAGAGCAGGGGGTTTAATTGGGGAAGAAATTGAGAGGAGAGAGAAAATAAAGTTGGAGGGAAAGAAAGGGTAAAAAATTAGAAGGGAGGGGGGGGGGGGTAAGTCGGTGCACATGACTCCCAAGTGGTAGTCAACACCGTAAAACCAAGTCAACACATCGGAAACCACCTTAAGTTGTTATTTGACAAATAATTTCTGGTATTAGTTGTGTTTTCACAAAAAAAAAAAAAAAAAAATAAAATTATAAGGTGATTTCTCACAACAAAACACACTTAAAAGGTGTTATATCTGACAAAATTTACTATATATGATTTCTATTTTAAGTTAATGCAATTGAGTTAGTCTTAGCATTGAACCTTAATTTTATGAGCTTGGAGAATTTCAGCTCTGTTTAGCTTCTGTGCAAGAATCATGCTGATTGGTGTTGCTTCTTACTCTTTCAAAGTACTAGATCATAAGACTTATATGCTCTACGCCTTAAAGGCTTGAATCTTCTGAAATTGTCTAATGGCAGGGGATAAAAGGAATGATGTGGCTCCAAACCATGCTGCTTCTTCAGGGAAAATTCCTCCTATCCTTGCTGTGATAATCCTTCTTGACTCGCAACTATACTTGTTATGATGTGTGCTACTTGGTTCTGCAGGAAAAAATCGTCTTTAAAAACATAACGTTGAACATAGTGTAGAAAACTATGAGATTCACACAAAGTATTCGTTAGAACTGCAGCTCATGACTACCCTTCAGGTTGGATCCCCCCTTAAGGCATTATCATGTTGAATGTGGACGCTAATAATTTGGTCTCTAGATCACATGTTGGGTTGGGGGTGGTTGCGAAAAATGAGCTTGCAATTGGGCAATGTTGCTTGCTTCAGTTAAGAGGTATGAAGTGCCGTGGGAAGAAGAACAAACAACACACTTGTCCTTAAACCACTTTTAATGGTTTTCTCTTACATATCAACTTTAATTTTATAAAGTTTGCCTTTGAATTATTTTTCCAACAGAACAAACATGAGGAGTTTTTTCAAGGTCTTTTTTTCCATTCGTGTTATGTTAGTGTGTGGGATCGTTGTGCGGTGCTTGTGAGTTAGTTGTTGTGGTGCGATCGTTATTGTGTTCTTCTTGAGTATCGTTTTTCCGTGCTTGTTGCTGCTGCAAGGGTTGTTTGTTTTGTTTGGGGCTGTTGTTCTTCCTTCCTAAATTGAGTACTTGTGTGTGTGTGTGTGTTGTTGATGTATGGATAACTAATGCAATGGCTCTAGTTTACTTACCAACTTGCTACTATGGTATATATTCATTCCCATGGTTTCCTTTATTCAGTTCACTTTAGAATTGAGAACTTCTCAATTCAATTTGATAAAAATACTTCTCAATTCAATTTGATAAAAATATTAGGGGTTTCTAATTTAATTGAGTTCATTTAAAATTGAAGGGTTTTCTTGATTCAATTTAATTCGTTTTAAAATTGAATTTTTCCGGTTTAATTCAATTATTAGTTTATAATTTTGGGGTGGTTTTGATGCAATTTGGTAAAAAAAATATAGAGATCTGATTTCTCATCATTCTAAAATTAGGGCCTTATTTATTTATTTATTTATTTATTTGTTTGTTTAAGATCGTTAAATGTCTAAGTGATTATTTTCTTAATGAAGGTTACTAGATAATTAGCTCTGACAAGCAAAGGAGTCAAGAACCCTCGGGTTACCATCTTGGAACTGTTGCTCTTTGGTAAATTTTCATTTAAAAAAAGATGACTGTAATACTTTTTTATTAAAAGATTGTATGATTTCGAAATTGAGCTAATTGTTTTAAATTATCTTTAATGATTAAACCTTTATAACACAATATTGATCCAAATGGACAGCCATGTATTACTTTACGATCCATATAATTTCTTCTGTAGTTTATGAAATTGTGAACTTGAAATCCTATATTATACTAATATTACACTTTATGCTTTTGATTAGGGATCAATAAATGTCTGTTAACATATAAAGCAATGAGGTATGCATGCAAAAACAATAAAACTATCTCAGTATTGATCTAAGCTTGTGACATACTATTCCGTATTAACTTTGTGGTAGAAGTTATATGATGACACTACAAGTGTGATATCAAGAATTCCTTTTCAACTAAAATATTTGGTTTTGATTAATTGGAGTTTTGGTCTGACTCTTTCAGTTTAATACTCTAAGGTAGCAACTGCAGCTCATTGCATCAAGCATATAGCGATGACAATTATGACTTTAAATGCAACAGGTTGCTTTTCTTTATCTTGTCGTTCAGGAAAAACAAAATGTTTGATTCAAAAGAGTTTAAAGATATACAGTACAGCGTAATAATATTGAGCTTCATAGCTGATATATAGTACGAAGTAATTTTACACATTTTGAGATTCATTTTTTATGTCGAGAATTTTCTAGACCCAGAATTCTATATCCTTTGTAAATTATCTTCTGATTGTGTGCTTTGTATAGCTTGGTTTGATTCTTGTCAAACTGGCTGAGTTAATATGTTCTTTTGGATACATGTATAATCTATGAATATGATTAATTTGTTTTGTTCTGGATAATTTGGAGTGGAAGTTGTTGCGTGTTAAATTATTGTTAACTAGTTGTACATTATGCTCTTTTTTTTTTTCAATAGTTGTACATTAAGCTTTTAAAGGTGAAAGAAAGAGAGATGAGACAGGAGGAGAGAGAGAGAGAGCGATGCTGGGAGAATAAGAGAGAGATAAGGGTCGGAAGAGAAAGAAATAGAGCAATTAAGAGAAAGAGGGGCAGGGAGCTGAGAGATAGAGTGATAAAGAGAAGGATGAGTCGGGAAAGAGAGAAGGGTCGGGAGAGAATAAGAGAGAGAGAGAGAGAGAGAGAGAGGGGGGGGGGGGGAGGCTTACTAAACCGTTCAAACTATACAAGAAAAGTGGATAGGTTGGAGAAAAAAGGAACAAGAAAGTGAAAGAAAGTAAGGATGAATAGAAAAGAGAAATGAGATAGAGTGATAAAGAGAGATGAGTCGGAAAAGTGAGAAGGGTCGGGGGAGAGAGAGAGAGGGGGGGATTACTAAACCGTTCAAACGATACAAGAAGAATGGATAAGGTTGGAGAAAAAAGAACAAGAAGGTGAAACAAAGTAAGGATGAATAGAAAAGGGAAATGAGATAAGACAAGACATAAATATAAGAGAGGGTATATATGAAGGAAGAAGAGATGGGAAGAATTTATAATCAAGTTAGTGACTACCATACAAATAAGACCCCGTAATCATCATGTTAATAACACCCCAAACTGTGAAACACAATCACAACCACAAATCTTACATATCATACCATCGGGGAGGCACTCGCGTAGTATGTGTTCCAACGACTATAATCTTTAATGTAAAAAGTGTAAAGCTATTCCCTCCAACTATATTATCAAAAAATCGTACATAAAATAATTTATAAATAAATGACCAGCAAATAAACTTAAATACATACACAAATGATATTTCTCATTCATTTTATACATTCCATATTGATTACAAACTCTAACTACTACTTTCTCCGTTCTTTATTACTTGACCCGCTTTGACTTTTACACTATCCACAACCCCTCCTTTGACTGTCTTTTGTGAATAATATGTAAGGAAAAATATATTTATGTATGATCTTTTGGATTCGTCTCAGTAAGTACTATCATAATATATAACTTTTATGATTTTTATTTATGGAGAATTTACGTTATTGATCGTTAAAGTTTTGCATTGGCAAGCGTGATAAAAGAAACAGGTCAAGTAAAAAAGAACAGAAGAAGTAATTCGTATAATTTTCAATAGAAGAACCAAAGTCTAACAAACTTATATACAATTCTATCATATATTTTACATTTAATCCATTTTACATAACTTTAACCTTAATATTGCATTTTCTTATTATTACTCCTTATTATCAAAATCATTTTACAACGAAGCTATTTGAAAATTATTTAGGTACTCAATAAGAAAACGATTGCGTTCTAAAATAATATTTAAAACAGTAGTATAAATTTTTAAAAATCTTTAAAGTATATCAAATTCTAGACAACTTCACTTGTAATAATTGTTTTTCCATAGATATTTCCCTATAAAAACTTTATCACTACTCCTTGTTAGTACTTAATTCATGTATCTTTGCTATTACAAAACCCGAACAACAACCACGAATATCACAAAAATGAAGGCAACCACGAATTCTACTTATCTTACCGTCAGGGGAGCAAGCGCGAACTTGTATTACATCTTTAAAAATTAAAACTACTCATAATATTGCAAATGTTTGTCTAGTACTATCCATACACGGTTTTCATCCAATTGAGCGGTTTGTGGGATACACTTCTACGGTTTCCACTCAATTCTCCCCTCCTTCATTACTTTCCCTCTAAACCCATCCAAAAATCTAAATCAAATTAACACAATTTATCATTAAATTAGGAAATGGTTTAAGCTATTATTTCAATTCTTGGTATATTTACTTGGTTAGAGTTCTTAATTTTCTTAAATTAACACAATTAGGAATTCAATTTAGGGTTTAGGGCTTCAATTCAAATTGGGATTTTGATTTCTAGGGTTTATGGTTTGAATTGAACTAGGGGTTTTGTTTTTTTCGTCAATTAAAAATTTAAGGCTCTAATTTGATCAATAAAAAATTAGGTTTTCCACATGTTCAACAATTTATAATTTAAAGGCCACGAGTTTCATAGTAATTACTACATTATTTTATCTCATTCATCCTTGTGTTTTCGTTTAGTAATTTTTAGCACTTACTTTGCCCTTTTCTTTAACCATTGATAGTTTCATCCTCTGACATGTTATTACCCGAAGCAGCAATAAGATGTAGATGAAAAAGAGAGACAACAAAGAAAAGGGTTTTAGGCCTTGTTAATTTTCCAAAAAGGGTATGAATTTGGAGATTTACTTAGGTTAGTCTAAGACGGTGAATAATGGAAGGTAAAGAAGAGGAGTGAAAATGGAGGGAAAATATAAGGAAGACAGAGATAGTTGAGGAGGGGAGTTGTTTGGGTGGGAATTCGTAGAAGTGGGCCCCACAAACGGCTCAATTGGATAGAAAGCATTAATGGGTAGTGTTAGACAAACTTTTGCGATCTTACGAGTAATTCTAAACAATATTTTTGAAAATGGGTAGTTATTCACAAAATAGTCTATCTTTAGGGTATATGCACACAAAATTTCATATTCTGGGTACATTGGTTTCACAAAGAAAAAAAAAAATTACTTCCTTTGTTTTTTTTGTTGACTTGTTTCTTTATTCACACTTGCCAAGTCATTAATATTTTTAATTATCGATAAGCAAAAAATAATAAAAAGTTGATATTTTAACAATACACATTGTGACGAATCTAAGAAGATCTCACTTGACCATGTTTTTCTTCACATATAAATCACAAAACACGGTCAAAGCGAGGTGTGTGAATAGTACTAAAGTCAAAACGTGGAGTGAAGTATATGAATGGGTACTTAACTTTAATGTTTGTTGCAAATAGGGTACTCAACTTTCAAAAGTGGCAATTTGGGTACCGAACTTTGGGAGAGTACCCACCGGAGGGAATATTCCGGTCAAGTGACTTGTAGTAACCTGTATTAACCGGTTTAAGGCAATTTTTTTTTTTAATTTAGAAAAACAGATTAATCATGAGGCTGCTTTGGTTAATGGGATTAGATGCTTTCTCTTCTCTCTATGCTCAACAACTTGTGGCGGGAAATGCTTCTTCACAAAGCTTCTGTTGCAAGGATTCCAAGAATACCCCTTATTACTCCCTCCTCATTTCAGACTACCTTTACTCTCCTTTTTCCCTATAAAAGCAAGTAGAAAGGAGGGGAAACCTTCATAGATTATCTCCATTAAAAAAACTCCAAAAGAAGAAAGTTGCAATTGAATATTCATGAACTGGCAGCCACTGATCTAGCCGAAGAAAAAGACAAGATACTAGCCAGACGTATTTCAAGAGAAGGTATATTCTCATTCTTTGTCTTTATATTCATGAATTATGTGTTGGGTGATTGTTGTGTTCTACATAAAAGTGTTGGTTTGTCTTTTTCGCATGAGTAAAA